CCACTGCATGTGGCGAATAAAATTTGAACTTGAACTTGAACTTGAACTGAAGCTAATGCAAAGCAGTGCATAGAGGGGAGAGTCTCAATACAAGGATGTTAGAGTGTTACATTTATAGTGAGCTGATTCATTGTTTTAGTAACATTTCTAAAGAGATCAGGAGATAAGAAAACCTGCCAATAGCAGAAAAGCCTCTGCGTGTCCTTTCTCAGAACACAAATGTTTCACCCCTCACCTAAGAGGGTAATAAAATCTTATGGAGAGTAATTTAACCCTTAATGTAGGTGGTACTGAGAGTTGAGCCTTCAAGTCAAGAGAGTTACTTTGGGTCACATGAGCCAAGGTGTGGTCCATGACATGGGACGTTACCATCACAGGGGTCAAGGTGTGGATCCTCTGTGAAAATTGCCCTATCCCGCCATGAGTGGCGTTTAAATCGCCCGAGAAGGGATCTGAAGACTAGAATATCCTTTCTCCTGTAAGTGCAGATGTATGGCCAAGTCTCGTCCTGTGTTGTGCCGTGGGTATGTGGTTTGGTTTTTTGGTTTCTTGGTTTCTCCTGTGTGTATTTCAGGCCCTTAAGACTACTGTGAACTGAGGACCTACACAAACATTCACAGATTTCAGGTCTTATAGTGCAGTAGCTTCTTATAATGCCTCCCTGTTTACATTTTTGGGTATTAGAAGCTAACCTCATGCTGTGTGTTTAGACTGGAGTTCTCTTTTTAGTTCAGTTCAGATAGTTCGTGCCACCCAGCTGCTGAGCTCAGGAGTGTGAAGGAGGTGCACACAGATTAAAAAGGAATTATTGTAGCAGGATGGGAAAGAAAAATTATCCCTGCAAATGCTGAGTAAACATCACAAAGAGACACTATAGTGTTTTTTGTGTTGTAAGCATTGATGTACATCAATACCTTGCACGGTAATAATCGTTTTAAGTTTTTTGTGATGTTTTTACCTCTAATTTTTACCTACGTATCTACTCAACCTCTTCCATTGTTCTCCCACCTGACTCCAGACGTCCAACACCTTGTCGTGGGCTTTGTATCACTTAGCGAGAGACAGCAGGGCTCAGGATCGACTTTACAGCGAGGTGAATTCGGTTTGCCCTGACAAGCGGGAGCCAACCATGGACGACCTGAGCAGGATGCCCTTCCTGAAGGCCGTCATAAAGGAGACATTACGGTGAGCTGACAGCTATTTGCGTCTGTCTCTCAAAGGAGTCAAGTTTTTCTTAACCGTAAGCATTTTAACCGAAGATCTGATGGTTTTAAAAACAAGTCTGTAATTCATAAATGATCTATAAACATGTGATGTATTTTGTATCTGCATGCTGGAAATCATCAAGTTGGTGTTTTGCACTGAATGTTTTCAAAACTTAGCTGTCCACTCATCCAAACTACACAAGTTAGTGATGTGAAGTCATTCGTGACAGGGAACAGTTTGAGTTTGAGACGAGCAGTAACAAGATTTTGTGAAAGCTGGGATTTTTTAGATGCCTCTCGTTTACTTCTCGGATGAGAAATTCCAGTGAGTGCCAAAGCTTCTCATGTAGGTTTTCACACACAGGTGCTAAATCCTGCTGGAAGA